GTATTTCTGGACGAAGTGCAGGTGGTGGTGGTGGTGGTCGATTCAAGAGCTTCTTGAAGTGGTCGGCCCATCGTTTCCTCTGTTTCTCTTCTTTTGTAATTAAATTTCCTTCTTCATCTTTTATTGGTTTCATCTGTGTTGGTCTCGCTCCTGAAAGCAACCTGGTTATTTGATACAATGTCTTCAGGTCTCTCTTACCTGCAGCCTGTTCTGCTTCACTTGCCAGTGTTTCGTAGAAGTGTCTTTTGTCTTTGCGTGCACTCTTCTTCACTTCTTTGTTCAGTGTAGTGTTTTATACATTGTACTCAGTTCCTCTTGTCGTTGAGCATCCTTGCACTGGTTTATCTTCTGCTTCACCATTCTCCTCTCCTCTATCAGCTTCCAGGTATCCGTCGAGATCCATTCCTTGTCTTCTTTCTTCTTCCTTCCTAATACTGTTGTGCAGGTTTCTTTCCACATAGCTTTCAAAGACTTCCAGTGTTCTTCCACACAGGTCTCTTTAGGGATGTTGCTCGATGTCTCCCATTTTGTCCGATATAATAAAGTGGAATAATGACGCAACACCTCCATACCAGGGATATCGAAAAATTTTACTACCAATAAAGACAAAGAATAAGAGGTAACATAACTATAAAAATCAGATGTCGAAAGTGGAGCGTGATTATGCTGATATGATTATGAGCAGTAATAATTTATGCTGGAAACATCGTCATCAAGTAAATAATACTGTATCACTGTGTACTGGGTTACAAATCAAGTAAGCAAATCTCATATGGAATCCATTTCTGCTTTAGGAATTGTCCTGGTGCGAACTTGACAGACGCAGAGGCCAATCACTAATTATTCGTACTTGTTATATACACACGAATACGAGACCAAGGAAGAACACAATAGCATAGTCGGATGGAGTAGTATATTTGCAAGGTCGTGCCAAAAGATACCAATGCGTTCCAACTAACTGGCTAGAGGGTCGATTACAAGCATTGCAACGTAACACAACAGCGTGCCAAATGGCGAGGAGGCTTGATCAGGTGCTTTCAGCTTAGCGATTCCAGTTAAAGTATGAAGGCCAGTATCAATGTTGAATCTCGTCAAACCCTAGGCTATTGATTCTGGAGAAATGTGTGATGCTACACTACCCTTTGAATTATCACTTGACCTGTAAATACTGTTCATTTCTCTGTTGTTATACCTAAATCTGTCTCAATCTACGTTATTTATTTATTTATTTATTTATTTATTTATTTATTTATGTATGTATGTATGTATGTATGTATGTATGTATGTATGTATGTATGTATGTATGTATGTATGTATGTATGTATGTATGTATGTATGTATGTATGTATGTATGTATGTATGTATGTATGTATGTATGTATGTATGTATGAATGTATGTATGTATGTATGAATGTATGTATGTATGTATGTTTGTTTGTTTGTTTTCCATTGTTTAACGGCATAAATCACGAGGTACGTGGATTATCCAACTGACGGGTACTACTGAAATTTATGAATTCATTAAATCCTGCTTTTTTCACATTCATTGCTTGTTTTATGTTGTGAACAGACAACTTCAAAATGTAGGGCATAATTATTAGCAAATACCAATGGATTTTGTTTGTTTGCTTATCGTTTTTTTTAATTATTATTAGTCCCTTGGGTTCCTAGTGGAACATAGGGCTTCAGTAGCACGCCTCCAGTGACCTCTGTTCTCTGAGATCTTTTGAACCTGGTCCCACGACGGCCCACAACCTCTCATTTCCTCCTCGCACGACCTCCTCCATGTCACCCTCGGACGTCCAACTCGTCGCTTCCCATGCGGATTCCACTCGAGCAACTGGCCTGACGCGTGATGTCCTCCGTCGGCCTTCTCAGTGCATGGCCAATCCATCTCCACTTCCTCCTGCATATTTGTTGAGTGATAGGTTCTTGGTTGGTTCGTTCATAGAGTTCCTTGTTGCTTATTTTTTCTGGCCATCTGATCTTCAGCAGCGAGCGTAAGCAGTTGTTGATGAATGTCTGTAGTTTATTGGAAATGCCTTTCGTGACGCGCCAAGTCTCTGAGCCATACAAGAGCACTGACTTGACGTTGGTGTTGAAAATCCGTATATTGTTCCGCATGCTGAGTGCAGAAGATCTCCACACTGGTTTCAGGCTAATGAACGCCTGTCTTGCTTTTCCGATTCTGACTTTGACGTCCTCGTCCGTCCCGCCTGTAGTTGAAACAGTGCTTCCTAGATAAGTGAAGGAGGTTACTTCCTTCAAGTTTCTCCCGTTGACGGTGATTGGAGTTTGTTGTTGTTGTTGTTGATGGTGGTGGTGGTGCGGTATCTTCATCACTTCTGTCTTCTCTATATTCACTTGAAGTCCCGTCTTCGCTGCCTCTTCTATCAACTTGTTAGTTTTCGCCTGCAGATCTTCAAGTTTGTGTGACATTAGGCATAAGTCATCGGCGAAATCCAAGTCTTCTAGGTTCTTTTCCGCAATCCAGCCGGCGTATCCCCCTCTTCTCGCTGCCTACTGTTTGCTGCATGATCCAGTCCACCACAATAAGGAATATCATGGGGGATAGTAGGCAACCTTGTTTCACTCCTGTCTTCACTTCAAAGGCATCACTGAGCTTCCCATTGTGGATTACTTGGCATGTAGCATCTTCATATAGTTGTTGAATGAGGCGGATAAAGGTTTGCGGTACTCCGTAGTATTGAAGCAGTTTCCAAATTACTTCTCGGTCGACGCTGTCAAAGGCCTTCTCAAAGTCGATGAAGTTGAGGTAGAGAGCTGATTGCCATTCTATGCTCTGTTCTATGATGATACGAAGCGTTGCAATTTGGTCTGCACATGATTTGTACTTCCTGAAGCCTGCCTGTTCCGGTCGTAGTTTTGAATCCAGTGCATCCCTTAGCCTCTCTAGGATGATGCGGCTTAATATTTTACTTGGGGTGGACAGGAGAGTGATTCCGCGCCAGTTCTTGCAAGCACTGAGGTCTCCCTTCTTCGGCAGTTTGACAAGGTAACCCTTCTTCCAATCAACTGGCAGGTACCTTCTCTTCCTTCCACACCTTCTGCAATAGTGGTGTGAGCATGTCTGCTGTTGTCTCTGCATCTGTTCTCAGTGCTTCTGGCGGGATTCCATCTGGTCCTGCTGCTTTCCCGCATTTCAGTAGCTTTATGGCGTTCAGGACTTCCATTTTCGTTGGGGGATTAATGTTCACTTGTAATTCAGCGGCTGCAGGTGGTATTTCTGGACGAAGTGCAGGTGGTGGTGGTCGATTCAAGAGCTTCTTGAAGTGGTCGGCCCATCGTTTCCTCTGTTTCTCTTCTTTTGTAATTAAATTTCCTTCTTCATCTTTTATTGGTTTCATCTGTGTTGGTCTCGCTCCTGAAAGCAACCTGGTTATTTGGTACAATGTCTTCAGGTCTCTCTTACCTGCAGCCTGTTCTGCTTCACTTGCCAGTGTTTCGTAGAAGTGTCTTTTGTCTTTGCGTGCACTCTTCTTCACTTCTTTGTTCAGTGTAGTGTTTTATACATTGTACTCAGTTCCTCTTGTCGTTGAGCATCCTTGCACTGGTTTATCTTCTGCTTCACCATTCTCCTCTCCTCTATCAGCTTCCAGGTATCCGTCGAGATCCATTCCTTGTCTTCTTTCTTCTTCCTTCCTAATACTGTTGTGCAGGTTTCTTTCCACATAGCTTTCAAAGACTTCCAGTGTTCTTCCACACAGGTTTCTTTAGGGATGTTGCTCGATATCTCCCATTTTGTCTTGACGGCTGACGTGAAGATTTCCTTTGTAGTTTCATCCTTCAGTTTCCGAGTGTTGTACTTGAACTGCGGTCTATCACCAGCTTCCTTGAAGGCTTTTAACTTGATTTGGAAGGTTCCTTGCACTAGGTAGTGGTCTGAACCTACATCTGCTCCTCTTCTTGACCTTGTGTTAAGTAGACTGCGTCTCCATTTTCTTGAGATTGAGATAAAGTCGATTTGATTTTTAGTGTGTCCATCTGGTGAAATCCATGTCGCTTTGTGGATATCCTTTTGCCTGAACACACTGCGCTCCAATCACCAAATCGTTGAATGCGCAGAATTCTGCAAACAATTCTCCATTCTCATTCATTTCACCTAGTGCCTCTCGACCCATGGTTAGTTCTCTTCCCGTGTTGTCCCCTCCCAGTTTGGCATTCATGTCGCCCATCAGAATTTTGATATCGCCAACTGACGTCTTGTCCAGTGTTGATTGAAGTTGTCTGTAGAAATCCTCCTTTTTCTCTTGCTCTGCATTATTTGTAGGTGCATAACATTGTATGATTGTGACCTTTCTTCCTTTTGAGTTGAATCTTGCTGTCATGATCCTGGAGGAGATTGGTTCCCACTGCATGAGAGCCTTCGATGCTGTTGGGGACATCATGATAGCCACTCCCTCAGTGTGCTCGTGGTTGTCGTCTGGGTGACAGATCGGAGTAGATTATTGATTCTCCAGTTGACAGTTTGGAGAGTCCACTCCCATTCCATCTGCTTTCGCAAATCCCAAGCACTTCGATGTTATACCTTCTCATCTCCCTTGCAATCTGGGCTGCCTTACTGGGTTCAAACATCGTGCGGACATTCCATGTCCCCACGTTTACTTTCGCTTTCATCGAGAGAAGACACATCGGCCAATTGGCTTCCCGAAGGCTTTCACCAACTGGCGTCATTTCGCCTCTCCGATTCCAGCAAGGAATAAGTTTGTTTTCATTTTTTATATTTTGTTTGTGCTTTGAAGTTTCTTTAGCGGTTAGATTTGTTTTACGGGGTAGGGTTGCTAGCCCTATGCCCAACCTTCCCTCTTTACCCGGGCTTAGGACCGGCTAGTAACTAGTAAACTAGTTAACCAGGCGAGGTTTTGCTTATCGTTACAGTGATTATAATATCTGTAGCTTAGGTTAAATTTATCTGAATTAGTGAATAAATAAGATTAGAAATCATGAAGTGTTAGATCTTTCTATATGTTATGCATAAATTATTTATCTGCTCCCATTGCGTCTTTATCTTTTCTAGATAATTTTAGTGCATAGACATTTTGATACTTTATCCATCTTTCCGAAGTTCTATTCAAAACAATTTGATTCAAAGAATAATAGTGAATAAGGTTCAGCGCATTGTCATAATGACACAGTACCAAAGTATTACTCATGACCACACCAGAGATGAATCCCAGAACCTACGTATTTCACAGCAATTACTCTACCACTAAGCCACTGGGTTGAAATCTCTAGAGGGGTCTTGACTACAAACTAGTGAGGATGAAACCACTCTCCAGAGCATCCAGGTCTTTAGTGGTTATCCAACTGATGGCAGTCCATGATGAATATCACTATGAAGTTCATTTAGTTATTTTCCTTGAAATATTACACCATTTGGTGAATTATATGTTTACTTTTCTGAACGGCAGCCAAAATGAATATTCAGAATGAATACTTTATGACTTTAAGCCACCGTCTAGCAACTTGATAACGCGGTGACTATTGAGTTTCCAGATAAATATTAACACAAAATGTAAATCCTGTTTTACGTTACTGAGGTGAATACTAAGAAGCAGAACTCACCTTTTCCTGTTCTGGTTTGTTGTTCAAAGTAAAGCGACCGTCAGATAGTTTACTCATGATCAGTTTTGTGAATTTCCTATCAGATGGATAATAAGTGGAAATACTTTCACTTATATTGTAAAATGCAGGAATGTTAGAGTTGATTAAGACATTCCTCTTAAATGGACAAAAGGCTTCTTACTACCATTGGTGCTCGAAGTAGTCATAATAATGCCACTAGTATTGAACTTATTGCTGATAACGCAAACCTAATAACATATTTGAGTTATAAGCAGATGTCGGCAAATAGGTGTAACATTTGATGAGGAAGACCTATATACTGTGGGCTGATGAACTGTATTACTACCAAAGAAATATACAGCTCACTTCTGAAGGCAACATTAACAATTCAAAACGAAATATTTACTGTATGTGCTATGACCTATAGTACAACCTAACACACTACGAGCAATACAACCCTAGAAGACTACGAACGATACGAACCTAACGTGCTAAGAATCGACTCAACGCTAAAATGCTGTCTGTCAATGGTCCGTCTTCTCTTCTTGTTTTCACACATCGGTGATTTTGTTGTGATGGTGGTTGATGTTCTGATTTGCTTCGAGTCGATTTTTAGCACGTTAGGTTTGTATCGTTCGTAGTCTTTTAGGCTTGTACTACTCGTAGAGTGTTAGGTTGTACTACCTGTCTCAACGCTAGTTGTATAATATCTCACGTGAGGACAAAAAAGGAAATGTGTAATTCAATGAACTGTTTCGTTCATCCAAGAATTCACTTCAACCTTGCACAGTTGATAATTGATTTAACTCGTAGTAAGTATGCAAGCATAAGTGACTTGAGTCTTCAGGTGTGAAATATTCATTTTGCTGATAAGTTACTCATATAGACTATCAAATGATAAGTTTTGAGATATAAGACAAAGGATGTATAGTGAGGAGTCACTTTTTTCAGCGATATCATCCTCAAGCTGTACAATCTCATATAAGTATACGATTCACCTAGTCATAGAAAAGGAATGTTTCACGAAATGTTCTGAAAGGAGTTCACACTTGATTATAAGTCAGGATGTCAGAAAAAGGAAATCACACAATATTTGAGTTAGTAAAGGGATATAATTCGGGAGAAGATCTGAATCAAAAGATTTCTAAAAGCTATGTCCATTGCAGCTAAAGTGACTGGACAAATTTCTTTTGAATGCAGAGTTCGGGCTTCAAGATACTAATTACCACTTCTTTCATAGTTTGAAGAAGTTTCAGGTGTACACCTTTCACAAGATTTTCTCAAACTCCGTAGATGACACTGAAGTGGGTTTCTGCAATTACCGGGTTGTGTTAATCGATCAAATATTTTAAAATAGAGTTGTGAAGTGCCCTCCTTTCTGCTTTGTGGAACCAGGTTGGTATATATTCGGAAATGCGTTTGGAAAACGAACTGTGATTACGGCCAATATACCTTACTGCACAGGAGCAGGTGAATTGACAAGCATACATCGAGGTAGCCAACAGAGCTAGCTTATCCTTTACTCATAATCAAACCATTGGGTAGGTGGAGAAAGTTAATCTGAGTTTGACAGCAAGGAAGGTCTTTCTCAATGAGCATACCAGCAAGGTTTCTCAATATATCTGCCGATGTGTCTCCGTTGAACTGTAAGCTCATGAAAAGAGGTTTCTTATAAGCCTTAGAAGTGGGGTGATTATTTGCTTTCAGATACATAGTTTTAGCTATGAAACGCTCAAGATTCTAATTTTCAGTCAAAACATTTTTGAAAAAATTAAGTTCATCTTTGAAAGTATCAGGATTGCAGATAGTATGGATCCTGTGGCACATAGAGAGAATCAGGTTTCGTTTGGTACACAGAGCCACCCAGCTATGAAAATTCGTGAATTGTCCATTTCATGTTGGCATTCTGTGGATAGACCTTACAAGTAATCCATTGACTCATTTTTTTAGCTGTTGCGTATGCAACGAATAACATTCAAACAAGAAATTAAATCAGACAAGACCAATTAATGTAGTAGATGAAACTGGCTATTGCGACAACCAATAAAGTCACTGACTATATGCTCAGTTTATATGAAAAGTGATCTGACAGTAGGGCTTTTTACTTAAAGGCCATAGTTCAGTAAAGATCGCTATTCCGTAGCTCGTCGACTCAATGACACTTGTCAACAGTAGTATAGACGTGCTTCCTGAAAGTTTCGTCAACTCATGTTTGTACTATTACAACAGCCTCTACAACTTTGGGGTAAGAGAGTCAGTTCAACTGTGAAGAACATATCAGCCATTCTAACAATCATATATGCATTTATATATATATATATATATATATATATATATATGTATATACCATCTGATATATTCGTGATCCCTACTCAAGAAATTCTAGAATAAGTTAGAAGAAAGGTGAGATTGTTGAAATAAAAATGTTTGTATAGGAGATAGTACCTTGTAAACAATCAAACTATAACTGATCTCACACAAGTTAAATGCTCTTAGCAAATATGCTTATCAAATAATAACTGAAGATCATATGAAACTCACATTTTCGTAGATTTTTCTCCATCATTTCCTCCCCTATAAATATTATTAAACAGCAAACTGTGATATCTAGTACAACTCATCCTTAAATTATTACGTCAGTAATTTAAGAAAAAAAAATACTACAAATAATAATTACCCTTATGATGAGAATATGTGAGATAACTGTGACTTAGTAAATTGGTGTTTTATATACTGGATGATGTGTGTAAGTGAGATAAAGACCTGGTTCGAGTCCCAATGTCTTTATTTTATCTAAAATTATCAATTATTGTTTTCTCTGAAATATTTCTCAGCTATTATAACTAAAAAATCTTTAACTATCTTGGTTTTTATGGAAAGATTAAAAGTAGAAGTATGTTTAAGATGATTTGTTGGAGAATGCTTCATGGATAGAAAGTCATATTCAGTAGAATGGTATCATTAAATTGGTTATAATAAATAAGGTGATTTACCTCTTAAAATATGCTAAGCAACCTAGCTGTCGAACAAATTTAAGAAGGACAGAGTGTTCATCAGTCTACAAGATCTACAAGTTTATGTCACGTTTAACTCGGCTATACTTCGTAATACAAATGTTAAATCCTTGTCTATTCAAAGGAAATACTAGAGATATATTGAGAAAAGAACTCTGTGCTTTTCTTCAGTCTGTATACTACTCATTATAAATTGAATTTTGCGCTAGTGTCAGTATAAACCTTTCTATTTACAACCGACTTCTTGATCATAACAAACTTTCTGTCGAAAACATTTGTTCAAATATACTTATGTTAAGAATTGAGAAGTTGTCTTGCTTTTCAGGATATTTATTATACGTCATTTAACATAGTGAAAGAAAATCACTGACTATTCTAACATTTCAGGTTTTGTCCCTCCTTTGTCAACTGCAATTTCCTCATCGTCAAATTATGAGTATGAGAGGAATGGATGCATGAACAATCAAACACTAAGTGTCTCATTTGATAATACATAAGTGCTCCACATTTGGAATGGTGAAAAATGATTACACAGCTACAAAATTGGCTTTAACCTTGGTTTCATCTCATTCTCTTGGTCACTAACAACATATTAGAAGTATCTGTCATCATAAACAGCTTGCATTAGTGTCTGCAAACAAATCCCACAAAATATTCATCAGCCATGAAACTTTGTAAGCCCAAGGATTTTAGAATATGTCTGTATGTTGATGAGTTAGAAAGATCCTTCATATCGATGGTTGTATTCAAACAGTTACTGCTTAAAAAGATTTTTAGATAAGACCCTCAGAGGACTTGATCAATTCTGTTTCACTTTACTGCGAATTTTTAAATTTAGGCATTACTGAATGAGTTTCTTAACACAACCTTTCGAGAAGGTTTGTCAACATCATGACTGTCCTCATGTATAAACCACTTCAAGAAGGCAATAACTTATCCTTATTCACTTTATCGAAAATCTCAAGAAAATGTGAACTTCATTCTGAACCGTAAGTATTATTGCTGAGAAAATCCACGCACATTTCTAAACGGTTAAATGAAGTCAATTAAAACTTCGGATAAGATGATAACACGTCAGATAAGTGACTATTTTAATTACTTGAAATGGTGGAAAATAATTAAAAACCGAATTGCTTGCTTTTTTATAAATTAAACCTCACCTTTCCACTACAGACTTCAGTGTTTCTTGAACGTGATCCCATAAGATTTGATTACCAATAGGAGATGTAACGAAATAAGAAATAGCATACCATATACTTTCATCTTGTTCAATCATTTCAAATAATCTAAAGCAAGGTTAGGAGATATTTAGTAAAGTAAAAATAAGTATATTTAATCATAGACACTTAGCCTTTTCAACATTGAGGTAAAATAAAGATCTCGTCATCAGTCGGGTCTCGTAACTCAGCTGGTACACCACCGAGCCAAAAATCCAGTCGTCGCTGGTTCGAACCCCCTGTGGCACAAATTTTCATTCCACCTTCAATCACCACCTAGCATAAGTGCATATCTGGCTATCTTAGGTAGCCACTGATAAGTATGCTTTTGAAATTACGAAGTTATAGCACATGTAAACGTCTGAAGATCAGTGTAACGCGGATTTAATTTGCCCCAACTCAGAATTGCTAGACAGTAAGACGCTTCTGCGCAACTTGCTTCTACTGATTAAATCTTAATGTCACTGACAGGAATACAAGTTTTCTTAAAAACACAGTCAAGTTATGAAGTCATAATACATGCGTAATTACTTAGCCATGCACCTGAAAGTATCCGAATAGCTATGACTGAAAAATCGGAGGATATGACAAGAAGTATTTTGCATCTCTTGCCGTATTGGAAAAATGGTTATTCTCTTTTACTACGGCAAACACTTTCACTTCATTGCTTACTGAAGTACGTGTGCCTCAAGGTACAGTACCTTCTCCGTTTTGTTCTCGTTCGTTTGGCATAATTTACCTTATTCTGTTGAAACTGATTTTACTAGGTATACTGATGACCTGATAGTTTCTATTCCAGCCAACTCTCACATAGATTGCTCTGAATTAAGTAGGTTCTTATCTGTAGTTGACCAGTGGTTTTTCTCAGATGATCTCAAGTTAAACCCTTCTAAGTATCAGACTGTTAATTTTAGCGTCAGGCGTAAACAAGACTTGTTTGAGCTACTTTAGTCCCACGATACCTGTTGTATTGACGGTATTTGCGCAAAAAGTAAATCGAGTGGTAACTATCTTGGATTGAAATTTCATTTATCTGTTTGTTAGAAATGTCATAGTGAAACAGTATCATTTACTGGGTAACGTTTCGGACTCACTTTATTGTCTATATTAATTTCAGTTGTGGAGTAACCTGATATGAATATGGACAATAAATTGTGTCTGAAACGTTATTCAGTAAATGATACTGTTTCACTATATGACATTTCTAATAAGAAGACTAAAACGGAAGTACGGTCGACCACAGTGCTTAAGTTTTACTCTTATATCTTGGATTGAGTTTTACTTCTAATCTTTCTTGGTCGTCTCATATCTTGTTGACTTGTAAAACAATCTACCGTTGATATAAGTGAAAAACTTGGGCACTGTGGTAGAATGTAGATTCCATATTATATTTGTTTATTTGATATAAAGCGCACAGTGATACAGTATTATTTATTTGATTACGTTTCGAGCATAAATTATTGCTCATAATCATATCAATGTAATCACACTTCTTTCGACATCTGATTTTATAGTCCTGTCACCTGATCTCTCTTTGTTTTTTGTTTTTTGATTGGTAGTAAAGTTTTCCATATCTCTGGTATAGGTGTTGCGTCATTCCTATTACATGTGTTGGGTGTGGATTCGATGAACAAAGATTCAGTAATCAATCTCTCTCTCCACCTAGCTATATTAGACTTAAGTACAGTGGTTTTGTTTCACCCTATTGTGTGGTTGTGTGTTAATGAATGTAATGCAATGGCCGAGTGTTTTTCTAGGTTATTGATCTTATTGGGGTCTGCCGTTCTATGTTTAGCTAAATTCCTATGTTCTGTTAATCTAACTGACCCCGACCGGCTAGTTTGACCTATGTATTTGACTTCACAGTCATTACATGGAATTTGGTAGATTATATTATTTTGCTTAATTGGTTCTATCGGATCTTGTAGCCGACAAAGCTTACCTCTAAGTGAGTTTGTTGGTTTAGATGCCACCCTAATTCCAAACTTGTTGAGAATCCTACGTATGGTTTCTGATGTTCCTTCCTTGTATGGTATCACAATGGAGGTGTTGATTTCCTTTCTACTTATGTTGTCACTATTATTTGTATTTGTATTAGTGTTATTATTTTGCTTCTTATGTGTCCGTGTGAATTTCTTAATAATATGATGGGGATAATTATGGATTATTAACGCTTCTTTTATGTGTTTCAATTCCTTTTTTAAGTCCTTACAATGACTAGTGAGTTTCTCAGCTCTGTTATTTAGACATTTGACTAAACCCGCTTTAACTGACACTGGATGAGATGACTTGAAGTCTAGATATCTGTTAGAATGTGTTGGTTTTCTGTAGACGGTAGTATCTAAACCACCATCTATCCTTCGTTTTATTCTGCAATCCAACATAGGTAATTCTCCTTGTTCATTTTCTACTTCGTAAGTGAATTGGATTGCGTTAACTACTGAGTTTATGTGTGTCAAGAAACTGTCGATATGTTCTGATTTCAACACTGTAAATGTGTCATCTACATATCGCCTCCATATCTTAATCCGACACCTAATAATAGGAATGACGCAACACCTATACCAGAGATATGGAAAACTTTACTACCAATCAAAAAACAAAAAACAAAGAGAGATCAGGTGACAGGACTATAAAATCAGATGTCGAAAGAAGTGTGATTACATTGATATGATTATGAGCAATAATTTATGCTCGAAACGTAATCAAATAAATAATACTGTATCACTGTGCGCTTTATATCAAATAAACAAATATAATATGGAATCTACCGTTGAACGTATAACATAAAGAAACTGAGGTTCTCTGACATAGCTCAACCTCTACTCTTACAATGTATTACAATATATTAATTCCTACTTATTCTTCTCAATTATTCCCCGTTGGTCTTTCCTGGTCTACTAAAAAAGGACTATGTAACACTTTGTAGGACGTTTAGAGCAGTCAGTCTGATGAGTGCTGTGCCTCTGGTCTAACTGATTAACACTGTAGTTGATAGACATTTAAGTTCTAGCAAGCAACTATTTACAGTTCATTTAACTGACACTAAGCATCCACTTCATTCACAGCTCTCCCCATGTATCTCATCAGGGATGGATGACAAGAAGAAATTACATAAGATTTTACTTTCGTACAGATAAATACAAGAATTCAATTGTACCTTACTTAGTACACATATTATGTAAGGTGAAAAGTGTTAGGACAGAACTCTCATGTCAACTTTGTAACAGTGAACAGGATTTGAAATATTGTTTTGTAGTTATTGCAATTATTATTATTATTATTAGTCCCTTGGGTTCCTAGTGGAACATAGGGCTTCAGTAGCACGCCTCCAGTGACCTCTGTTCTCTGAGATCTTTTGAACCTGGTTCCACGACAGCCCACAGCCTCTCATTTCCTCCTCGCATGACCTCCTCCATGTCACCCTCGGACGTCCAACTCGTCGCTTCCCATGGGATTCCACTCGAGGGCCTGACGCGTGATGTCCTCAGTCGGCCTTCTCAGTGCATGGCCAATCCATCTCCACTTCTTCCTGCATATTTGTTGCGTGATAGGTTCTTGGTTGGTTCATTCCCAGAGTTCCTTGTTGCTTATTTTTTCTGGCCATCTGATCTTCAGCAGCTGTTATTGCAATATATCATGCTAAGAATTCCAAATTGTACCAAAAATGGTTTGGAATAAATAAAATGATAATTTTTACTACGTTAAATAAACTGCAAACTTATTGGTAAGACTGAGATTTTCAGGCTTTAGCGTATAAAGAAATCCAGGGTTAGAAGTGTTGAGATAGTATGTTTTGAAATAATAATTCTCATACAAAGTAGAATCTCAGAAGTGTATACTTTCCCGATTTTCAGGTGTTTATGACTGAATACCTTTTGTAACTTGTTCACAACATATCATCGCATTCTAACTTGATACAGTAATGGATATGTATCTATTTTATTATCACTAATTAAATTTGATGATGTGAACTTATTAATATAACAACTTACATTTTCATGGTCTCTGCGTGACGGGAGCAGGATAATCCATGCAAAATATTTGTCTTTTCAACTTCTTCAATATCATCTACTAATAGTTGATGTTTTAAAAACTCCCATTCCGTTTTATTACCAATACGAATAGCTGTACAGTAAGCAGCTCGTCTCAAACCAGGTGCTATGCTTAAAAGTGTTGCAAAAAGAAAAGAAAAATAAAGAGATATATGTGAAACAAGATGTGGGGATCCTTCAGAAGAAAACAACCTATATCAGTGAATTTCGAATTATTTATCCTAAAAGAAGCGGTGAATTGTAATAGATGAAACATTTCATGCTAACGAGATAACCGATTTCAAAACGAAGTATCTACATTTAAGTAAAATTACAAGTTCACATCAGTACAAATCGCCTTAGAAAAATCCTACTAGTTGCGCTATTGAAAAGTACTCCGACTTACATTATACCTTGATATTACAATTTTCAGAAAGACTAAATTGTGTCCACTGATTGGTATTAGCTTCTGTAAACAATAACGTAAGGAGAGTAAAGCCTCGTAATGAGTGAGGACTAAGTGCATGCTAATGGAGTAACATATCTTTCTAGCTCTGTCTCTTTCGATGTTTTTCAGCGTTCTGGTTTTTGCTTCTACCTTCTTCTGATGTTGAGTTTTCACAGTATTAACAATCTTGAATTATTTTATTTGCATGTAATTCCAGACTTAGGTGTTCAGAAATGCGATAATCACTGAACTCATCTATTTCTATGAATCTTATGGAGGTAAAATGGCTCAGTATTCTAAACATATACTGTCTTGCCTCCTAACAGAAATAATTTTCATAAACTTTACACTTTCAGTCCATTAGGATCATATACTTCAAGCTAACTTGATTAAACTTTCATCGATGAAGTAATCTAGTCGCACGCTATTTAGTATCCGTATGACGAAAATTCATAGGTTTTATGCACTGTCGCTACTTTCTATGTCCAACTAAGATTTTAGGACAACTATTTGAAGTCTTAATCATTTTATTTTAGGTTAGACTTCATTATGGACAAACATCAGTAGGGAGAAATACTGAGAGCACTGAACAGCTGTTTTGTCCTACTATGGAACTATTTGGAAGTACGCACCCCCGACCATTGCATCTCAACTCAGTAGCTCAATAGTAACGTACTGCCCACGGATCCTGAATACCCTTAGTTCGAACCCTAGACGCACACAGTAAAGAGTCCCACACTCGGACGAAAACGTTGTCCAGCGCTCCCAGGTTTCCAATTTTCTTCCAGCTGATATCGGTCCATAATCAATTCCACCCTGCAATCAACTAACAAATTCCTGCAAACTTCCATACTGAATTAATCATTTTAACATATCTACACTCGATAGGAATAAATTTATGAAATAGTTTCCCCCACATATTTCTAAATCATATCAAAATGCATATCTCTTCTAGTAAGGACAGTTGTTAACTACTTATAAACTTAAATCAAATAACCTTCGGTAATGTTTATTTTTCTCTGAATTACTCTAGTAAGCAGTAGGCAGACTTCTGTAGCTATGTAAAGATATACTAATAAGAATAGAAATCGGAAGTGTTGAGCTGAAAAACATCAGCTCATTAGTGATATTTACCTGCCAGCAATACACTCTAATACAGTGGATATAAACAAGTCCTTGCTTGATCCTTTGGCTTAGTGGACAACTACTTGACATTTAAAGCTATGGGTACTGGGTTTGAAACTTACTAGGGTGGAGTTCAACAGTAAGAGTACTGGACAGAAATTTGTTAATAACTTTGGTCTAAAAGAATTAAGTATAAGCAGATTCAGAAATAATAGCCCATTCGTTTCCTGCAGTGTTGGGTTTCAAATTCATATAAACTTTAGTAGTCAACATGAAGAAATGTGATCTTTGAATGATATTTACTCAAACCGTGATCGATATAAATAGATACATTGAAAACAAACAAGTTAAATGTTGATCCAGGTAAAATCAAAAGCTAAATTATGAAAAGAAATGATCTTTGTGAAAAATACTACCTTCCAAACCTTTTTGACCTGCTCCACTCCTTAATCATAGCATAAATATCTATTCATCAAGTATTTCTGCAAAAACATTCCAATTCTTGACGATCCTAACAAAATTTCTTACAGTTCAAAAGTTTTAATTCTCGTAAAATTTCATCTTGTTACTTACAATCTCGGTTAAAAGTTAGACAATGAACTGAAATGAAACAGTTACCTACAAAGGCTTATGTTTAGAAGACGATGGTTAACAAGTTCACTAGTTACTAGCCGGTCCTAAGTCCTGGTAAAGAGGGAAGTTTTGGCATAGGGCTAGCAACCCTACCCCGTAAAACTAATCCAACAGCTGCAAAAACTTCAAAGCACAGATGATATTCTAGTAAATTAAAGTTAACAGTATCCAATGTGTGCTAAACAACGTCGTGGAAATTCCCTTTGTAAAGACTATTTATTGTATTACCTTCACAGAAAACTGAATAAAATTGTTTTTTAAATTTCCGTCGAGTGAATAAGATCTGTTGATTACTGAAAGGCAGACCAAATTACCACTGACTAAATAGGCCTGAAGTCTTAGAAAGTACATTTCATCATTGTGTGTGAATGAGACACAGTAATGATTCATTAGTATCTATGAAATCTTGCTGAGATTGGTTCTACCTCACTTTGAAGTTTTCTAGTTCATAAACTATACTCATAGAGTACCAAGTGATGCTGTGGCATGTCACTAATGTTGTCATAGTCCAGCACATATTCAGGGGTATTCCAAGGTGAAGTACCTAATGCATGAACTACTTCCTTCCGCACTAAGCCTATAAATTAGCATATTTTTCCGGAATTGTATCCTTACCAGCTGACAAAGGCAAGTGGTGTATTCTAACATTAAATAGCATTATATTAAAGTTGATTTTCATTCTAAATAACTAACGGGTTTTGTTTTGGCTCTGAGATCCACTCCTTGAAGAACCTTTTCGCTGCTTCCAGACAAAACGTTTGTTCCATCTGACAAGCTATTTCAGCCAAAGTGCTTCGTAGCATACTGAAAAGAAATGACAAGTGATAAGTAAATCAATAGGAGTCTTGGATGTTGTAAAAATATTTATAAAAGGATCTTCTAAGCGGTTTTTCTCAAAGTTGCAAATATACTTAGGTCATGAGTACCAGCAAGTACCATATTCATGTCTGGATCAAACTACTGCCCCCCAGTGAGTGCATAACGCTCTGGCATTTGAAGCGATAGCTCCGGAGTCCAAATCCCGATGGGAACAACATCACTTAGTGGGAAGCAGGTACATCCAGCTGACGAGTCCCAAATAGGACGAAATGCTCATCCTGGATTCCACTGCTAGCCACGATCCATCCTTAATACAAAGAAATAGTTCAAAATATTCTGTACTGTCAAACTTTTTCTTATTGACTATTTGATTAACTCCATCAGAAAATAAACTGACAAATTTATGAAGGGTTCTGTGTATTCTTTCACTTGCATCATGTTTCAATGAATGAATGCATTACATCGAACGTGTCATTTGTAAGGCATTCGAAATCTTACTCACTCACCTTCCAGTTTCAATTTGTAGACTGCCTCACCTCTTCACTGTCAAGCTCTACCATTTGTCAGTTATCTTTTATTATTAAATATAAGTATATCCTATGTTCTTGCTAAGTCGTCGGTTCACCTTTTTCCGTTCTTCTTTTCCCTTCCACGTTCTCGTGGCCACCACTAAACTCATATTGCTCTACATGCCCCCTGCAACAACGTACATACCCACCTACCCACCTACAAGCTAGATGAAAACGTTACACATTTGAAAAGCCGTAGCTTCAGATGTTACTGTGGAATCAAAACTATGATTTGGTTTTACTACAGTCCAGAGATTTACTACTTATGGGTGAAATACATTGAATGACAGTTGTCAGGATTAAAGAAATACTGCTATCACTTTTTAAAGCGAATTCCTTCACAAGCATATATAAAAAAGAAGGATGACTTACAACTTTTCAATATTTTTATCTTCTCTCAAAGTTCGCCAATCCATATTTGCAAGTGGTTCCTTTAGAAGAGAACGTACATATGTCTGGAAAGTTCCATAATTCTTGTCAAATGTAAGCATACGATCAATATAGAACAAGATGCTCCTGGTAAGTTTCCAAACTAAATGATGATCCTCTCTGTGCAAATAATTCGTCATGTCTAAGAAGGTGGTATACGATACAGTGGCATGCCTTAAAAAAATGAAGCAAAAACAAAGGAAGATGAAACTATCAGCAGTAACTTTCTGTGCACCTCGTTAGCTGATGATACAATGTGAAACAATTTATTCCCTTTATAATCTTTGACAAAAGAAGTAAATTTGTCTGAACTGTATATTGAATTGGTTCCACTAGTTTTCACTGTAATCGTTGCCCTGCTACTTGACCTGTTCTCATATTCTCACTCCCTATCTCTTTATAAACTTATATGTCTACCAATGGTAAGTACAGGTATGATCAAATCGTTCGAAATGTATCTCACAGACATACTTCACGATATGAACAAGTTAAAAATTTCTATTATTTTGTCAACGTAACTTGAATTATTTTCATTTTGTATAATATAATTCACAGTTCGTACTACCTTCAGTGGTAGTTTTGTCACAGTATCCTGTAGCAGTTATCCATTTAACTTAGATGTCCTAAGTTTTAGGAAGAGTGAAAACGTTTGTCTACAGTCTGCAAATTTAGAATATCGTACAGTGTTATACCGTACTATATTTAAGCGTAGTTTTTACAGCTAGTTCATTTTCTGAACACTTTTACAGACTGATCATTTTAAGAGATTTAAATACCAACACTTCGGGAGAAATAAGTAATCATATCATTCTGTTTTTCGAATTTAGACAGTCATTAAATGCTGCACCGAAATTTGGTGGTATTTTACAACGTTTCAAATCGGAAATGCTGTTAGCTAAAACTGATAGTAGTTGGTTGGAGACAATCGATAAAAAGCTATGAAACCTGTATACGTGCCTACATACACTCGTCAGTAAGGCGTATCAGCAGCCGTAATGGAACTAGTTTCAGTTTGGGAACCACCCACTACTGCAGTCAGAGACGTCATCACCGAGCTTTTTGGGTGGTGACAAACCTCCTTCAGGACTGGTTTATTATATTTATCGGTCGCTGAGGGGTAACCAATTCTATGTTCTCTAGACATGACCTGTGAATGAATCCAACCGGTTACTAAGAAGCACTGAGTGAAATGACTTTGAATCTCTCAGAGAACATCAGCTTCTTTGAGGTTGCAGATACGCCTTGACGGTGAGTGTCAACAAGCATGAAATGGGTTAATGAGAGATTTCTGCCGATTGAGGTCAACCATTTAACATCAGTGGAAGTGTACCTTGATGTTGACTGTCGTAGTCCGGATGCCCCGCTACCAAATGATTAACAGAATCCCTTCAGCACTACCCGTACATTTTTGTCTAGATTTCCTACTTGTTCTGCCTTCTAACATAGATTTAGTATAAAACGCGTCAAATAAAGCATTAGGTGATAGAACGTTTAAGATTCTCCACAGAAATGTTTGTGAAATTGAACGTATGCTTTTATAACGTAACTCTGACGAACGGATTTTAAGAGTTTTGGAAAACTGCTTCATGTTATGGAACAGCTATTTTAAATATAATGTGATTTTCCTGAAGATTTACAATGTAAAATACAGCAATTTGGAGATATTCAGTAGAAAATAGCTTTCTGTACAAGTTCATCACTTCGAATACGCGTTGGTATTCACTCAGAACACGAATAAGTTCAAAAATTGGTTTACGAGGCAAGTAACGTTTAAACTAAAGGAATGGGTTTTAATGAACTCATGAAAATATTTGGTTTGTTTGAATGCCAGTCTTTAAAGTTCACCTCATAACATCAATTTCAATGCTGTTAACTATGTGTTAACAAAGTGAGTTTAACTGACGATGTATACTTGATGTTGAGACGATATAAGATACTTTCACTTTTGAAAATCCAGTTCACATATATGTTACAAGGAGGAACACCTAAATATCTTGTTTAGGAGATATGTATGCTAAAAGTTCAGGTATAATGTAAGCTGCATGTACAATCACAGGTACAATTATATGCAAATTCTTTTATGACTTACTCGGCCAAATTGAACAAATCATCCAACACTTGTAAACGTGAATAAACTGGGATTGCCTGAAAAAGAAAGGAACATTTTAATTTAACTCACAGAACCGAACTGTTCACATCATATGAATCAGGTTAGCTGATTTGCATGGATGATAGATTTGTAAATAATGGTGAAGAATATTTGTAGCTCAAGCGGATGGTCTTGGTTGTGTTGTGTTCTCTGAACTGAGCTGCTTACTCGTGGAGCATTCATTGTCTTTCTGGAAGATATCTTCAGCACTAACTTCAGTATGAAGCTCCACAAGTAAACAACTCAGCTCAGAGAACACAATACAACCAAAATATGCAAGTGACTTGCTAACTGAGCAATCCAACGGAAATCCTGCTGATAGTTGAAACGCTAACTAGCTGTGAAGAATATAAAGGTAGACCGTGATATTTTCAAATCAGTTGTAAATTGATTACTCTGTTTAATGTTCAACATATTTCGATGAGAAAAATATCAGTCTAGGTACCTATTCAGGTGAATAAAAACCAACGACTGGTTTGGGAAAGGTAAATTTTTAGTATGGAGGTACAACATTAATTTCTTTATGTGATGTATCACACAGAAATTTAGTATCATGTAACAGATAGTCTTCTGAAGGTAGTTTATGTTCATAAGTAATGACAAAAATGTAGTTCCACTATTTTTCAAATTGAGGAATTTTTTTCATTTAGGAAATATTTCAACATTAAGATGGAGTGGCAATGGGGTTACCAATTAGTCCCTTGTTTACCGACTGTTTCATGGTTTACTTATATTCAAATGCCTTGAAACCTACTATCTACCATTTTCGGGTCGACAAGCGGTATATGGATGACATTTTCATTCTTCATGACTGAGATAACTGAGATAAATTAAATTCAAGAGATCATACATCACGCGCGATTAGTCTCATTTCTCTTCATATGGATGGTACAATGAATCAGATAAACCATCTTGTTGCCAGAATTGATTCAGTGTGCACATATTGAATAAAGGATTGCGACTCTTCAAGGAAACTGTTGCTTTGAAAGAATATTTAACCTCATTTATTGATAAATATACGAAAAGTAATCGCGGTTTTGGATGTAACAGTACCTAAATAACACCCGTGCATCCATTCGAAACTCGAATGATAGTTGAGTTCTACAAACACATCTATCAAATGTAGCCCAAAGATCATCATCTGCTGCACCTCTGCATTTCACTTTCTCCACGCAAGCTATCTTTCGTCGAAACACCAAAGATAATCTCTCGCTGTTGGCAATGCCATGCGTATCTATAAACTTACTTTCTTCTCTGGAACTAAGTAAATAGGCCATATCAGTAGGACGTTTTCAAGTAGTGCTCACGAATATTTTCGCGACATGGTTGTTGGAAATAGAATCCAGATTGATAAACAGTTTTATTTGGAGCATGTTATTCTGTCAAGTCACAGATCACTTGCATTCAGTGTAGTATACAAACGGTTGCCAAGTATTCCAAAGAGACTTCGATTGTTTTTATTGTACAGCAGTAGCTCCTAACATTCACAAACATAATCCTGAACTCTGGGTGCACAGGCCTTTTGTTCAATCCCTTTAGTAAACATAGACTTAGCTGCACAACTCTGTGGATTTCGCTCAATAATTTATGAATTTCATGATTCCTGTTCTAATGAAGTTTATTACTTCTTTTAAATTTGTATAAGGAAACAAATTTTTTTACTTGGCAATTTTGTCTCTAACCTACTTCCATTTACTTTCTTACAGCACAACTTTAGTGATTTAAGTCTTTCTGGGTGTTTGTGTGTATAATATTCCTGTTTCCTGGCCTCATCTTAGTATAAAAAAAGAACAGGAACTTCTATCATCAGTTAATTACTTTGTTTGTATATCTTCTTTACATAAAACTGAATTATCTCCTACATTATAACATCCTTATGTTCCTACCCACAGTTTACAGCATTTTCTTACCGACATCAAATTTTGACTCTTGGTGGCACTTTCATATGTTTAAATTTCTACACTGATGAGAAGTCAGGTGAAGAGTCCACTTTGCTGACTTTCTTTTGGAATTCCCAAATGTCTTTCGCTGTTTAAAGTTTGCGAATTTCACGATAGTTAATCGTACACATTATGTATTCAGAATAATAATTTGATAAGAAGGAATTAATAGAATAGATTGTTTAAATCTCCATGTATTTTTATACATCCCACGTGTAACGGATTTTGAGTTGAAGACAGAATATTTTAGGCAATGCTAAGTTGAATAACTCCCTACTGCTACATTGCAGAATTTTAGTGTAATGCTAGATTTTATTTCCCTACCAGGCAGTCGAAAAAGATCACAATATATCCTAAGTCTAATGTCCGCCGTTTTATAGCTCATGCGTTTATCACAGACGTACAAATTTCAACAAAATATTAGTCTGACATTTTCATGTTTTCTGTCATATCAAATGTATCATGCATATCATGCATGCTAGAGCTAACACTACCACATTCATAGGCCCAGAAAAACTTAATTATTGTTCTTCTGTGTGATTATTAGTCTTTTGTTTATAGCTTAGATAGTTCGAGTGTTGGAGATCATTTTGGAGGCAATAGTCGCCCACAACTCTTTTAGGTCACAGAATTACGGATACATATTTAAGCAAGCAGCAGCTGTTTTATGTCATATCATAATTGGTCTGTAACTTGATGAACACACTTCACTAACTATCGTTGACATTTAGGTGATTGGATAATCGTTACGTCTCAAACAATAATCGACAAATGTTAAAGTTAGGAATATTTTCTTAAAATCCAAACGCTGGCCGAAAGAGTAGCAGGACATTTTTTGAAAAATTTCTCTATGGATCCTGATCAAAAGGCCTTTAAGCGATTTTCGCGATAAGAAAATGATACCTGGATGAGAACTTTATCAGCTCAAATGTTTAAGTACATCTACAAAAACGATTAAATGCGAAAAATGTCACGTTAACTAGTTGATCGCAAGTGTTTTGTTCCTCTATGTGACGAAATTACATTATAATCTTTATAATATTCATGCCCAGCATTCAATTTTTCTGTTTTGAATGACGTACAGGGATACAACATAGCCAGGATTACAATCATTCTGTTGATCAAGTTCTTGCAGGAATGAACTACGCATATTTGTAAACTTATATTCTCAAAAAATGGCTAACTTGTCCCTTATATCACGCCTTTGTACCAGTTAGAAATGAGTTTATAATAAAACAACTGTAACACTCCTGTCACAGGAAAAAAATTTTAATCTTTTGTTTCGCACTCTGAAGACAGATCACTAATCGTAGTTAATAATATTACAAATTCGAAAACGGAACTACATCTTTATCCAGGATGTAAATGGCTGCTTACGGAATACGTTCAAACGAAGGTGTTATTCCCCAAATATCAGTAGTAAGCAATTCAATTTGCAAAGTTATGCACCACTTGTCTCTGAATAAACAACGAAAATTAAACTGGAATCTAACAAAGTAGTGCATACATTCTTACGTGAAGATATACCTCTACTACTACACAAAAGATGTCGCCTAATTTGTGAAGACCTATCTGTAGTAATAATCGTTTTACTAAGACCGTGAGAAACTTCTAAAACAATTATTGACGAATAACAGCATACCTTGGAGGTCAAGAATAACACGTTATTGTAGAAGTATCGGTGTCCTCACTGTTTTGGCTGATCTAACCGAAAAACTAGCAAAACTTGACTGATACTAATCTACCTACATCAAGAGTTTGCTGATACATTATAAATGCCAAAACCATAAGAAAGCTGAAAACGTTGTTTTGATTCGTTTAAGATGTCAACACGTGTAATAATAAAGCCTCCGTAATTTCGTGGGCAAAAGCCTCCACATACTTCGAGAAAGAATTATACAGAACTATTTTGTAAAAAGCTTTTTCCCCTGAAAAGTAATTCATGATCCATTAGCGTTATGATACAACTGCCAGTAGTTTTTCACTTGTAACAGTGATTCTGGACTAAGCTATTCATGGTATTCATAGATGCTTCAGTATTTAAGGCTTAGAGAGATGGGATCTTTCGATTTTAGATGCGGAGAGTTTTACTATGATTTCTATATTAGTCTTAATTTGAAACCTGTATGCGGTATTTCCAAGACTTTTGACGTGAAAATTCTTGAAACCGCGATTTCTCTAAAAATCAAACAGTTCTTTCATTTTCAATACTAACACTCAACGTACCTTCGGATCCTTGTGTAACTGATCTGTCAATAATTGCCAGTTATTATCTGCATAATGAACTCGATAAAATCCAGCTTGTTTGATATTCAATACATACCAATCATTCCAATCAATATCCAGTGTTGTGGTCATTGAACCTTGAGGTATAAAGGGATTAGGGATAGATCAAGCTTTATGGCTGCATTAATAGCATTGATTACAGTACATAGCTGCAATGTCAACCAAACCAAATGATACTGAGTAAATTCTTGGCTGGGACAGATTTGAAACAATCAGTTTCCGGTTTGTAAAAAGTTATACTACAGAACTATGGAAGTATTCAGTGAAAAACTTTGGTTCAACCTTCAGTTTAAAAGATGGTGAGCATTCTACAATCGAACACAACATTCATTGTGTTCACAAATGCATTTTTAGTAATGGGGAATTAATCATTGATTCTTGAGAATTTTTTGAAGTTTCTTGCAAATAGCTAACTTACTGTGCTCTACTTCGGAGTATATGGCAGTCCTATAGATGAGGTCGGAGGGAAAATACAGTCATGATTAGAATTTCAACAATTGCAATGTTTTACCCAAATTCTCAGTTTGTTTTGAATAGTATTGACAAGGACAAAGTGACAGACATATTGACAGTAGTTTCTGTAGGAATTGAAACAGTATGTAATAGTCACTTATAAGGTCAGGAATAGCCTTATAAGAACTTATTTGTACAACAATTAAGAAACAATGTACTTCCATTCATATCTATTTTATATCAGGAGTGTTCAACATCTTATATAAAAATACCAGCATTTATACAAAACTGCTTACTATTCATCATCCATTTAATATCAACCTTATTCCAGTTTTTCGTTTTCGCTGAGCCATATGTTATTGGGATCTTCCAACTGAAGCTAGTCACAAATGGAGAAGTCAGATAAAGGGAATTATGGAGTGGAAATGATATTTAACATTTCATCACTTCTACTGAGAATACCATTCAGAAAGAAAATTTGGTTAATAAAGTAAGTAATATTTCTTAAATGACACATCAATTCTACTACGATGCAACGGTAGCATTACAAAGAATACTAATAGAACACCGATCACAAGCTTCTTAAAAATAATCAAGACAATTAGAAAATATTTAATTCTCACAAAAGAATATCTAATGTTTGTATAAAATGTTATCTCTATTCCCACTGGGACGCTAATTACATTGGGGAATCGTCCTGCTAAATCTTCATTCGTGCTAATGAACGTTTAAGCTACACAAGGTGACAACAACACTCACAAATAAAAGCCTCGTTTGCAACATGCACCCACGATGCCTGCAGAGATTCTGACTTGGTAACTCAGTGTTGACATGTATATTGTGAGACATGAAGATGTTTGGTTCGACCCTTTGCGAGGTCATGAACGCGCATGGCTGAAGACACCTATTCTGGAGTGAAACTCCCAGGTTTTCAGTACTTCTCCAAATGATGTCAGTCCGCGATAAATACTAGCTTGATTTCAATAGTGATTAAATGATTCCTTGTCCTTAGCGATAAACACAGTTTACTGTCTTACTAATTTCAGCAGGGTAAGTAGAATTAGGAGGATAATAAAGACACATTTTACTATTGGAATAGGAGACAGTTAGAAGATCATCACCATTAGGTATAGAAGTCGTTGACCAAGTGCTACGTTCACTGCTTTTACTAAGTGGATATCTTCCTAGATTAAAGAACCAATGCATTTCAACGGAGGTTTCATTATTTATATCACAAGATTCTTAGGTCACCATGTGACCCATAATCTATCTTAGGTTAAGATGAGACAAGACAACAGTAATATTTTCTACTAGTCTGAAGATATTTTCTGTTTTCTAAATTAAACACACATGATGACGTGATGATATGTAGTGACTTTCCTCAAGATCTTGTATACGAAGTATTAATCCCCATTAAGTTGGACTTTTAGAAAAACCTTTCCAAAATAACACTAGGAAATTCAAGATACATTCAAAAAAGTATTCATCACAGTAGTTAGAGAAGTACTCAAAACCTGGAAGTATAGGACAGCTCTTTCATCCTAGTATGAGGCTAACGAAGTTCTGATGACGAGTTGTGGCTTGTGGCGTCAACTAAGTCATATGTGAGGACAAATACTTACTGATGGCATTGGGTGGTGTTTGAGCTATATCACGGAATAACAAAAGTAAGAAAATATGAACCACTGGATATCAATGCAATGGGTTAGTGATAACTTTCCCGCCGCGAAACTTAGGAGTCCTGAGTTACATCGCTGATGGGGCTGCATGTGCACTGCCAAGAAGTCCACGCTAATGCAAAATACCTGTCTAGTGCTCTCAGGTTTTCGATTGTTCTCCAACTGAAGTCACTCTGTGATGAATGCCAACATGAGATTAATAAACCCCATGGAACTCATGGCTAAAGATCATTTGTCAGCAAAACACATATAAATAACATTATGTTCCATGTTTAGATAAAAATGATAAGACAGCTAAACTCAATTTGACCATATATGGAAAGATATATTGGTGACTCCAACGTCACCGAAAAAACTACTAAAATAGCCACTTGGATTCCTTTGTTTTATATGAAAATCACTTTTTAGTTCAAAATAAACGAACTGAACTGGTTAATTTCTCAGTTGGTAGGATGAGCTTAAGAGTTGCTCTTCAAGTAAATAAAGTTGGTGAACGTGTTACAAGCTAACATCAACTATTCAGAGTAGAACAAAATCATTTATGGTAGTAATAAAGAATGAAGGAATTTATTTGGCTTACTTATATGGTGATGGAGGGGGATTTTCATCTATAGGTTGAAAATAGTGTATCTGTTGGAAATGGTATGTGTTTGATTCATTTCTCCGAACTATAACAAGGGGATAGTTGGCCTGTTTCGTCCATGTGTCCATGATTAATTTGATGTTGATGTTTTTATGCCTAAGTTTAGCTGCCTGAAATATGAATTAAAATGGTAATATGCTTAATCAAAATTATGAATAGATGCTAAAGTGTTTTTGATAAAACCTGTTGAGTTAGACTTTGTTTCAGAACTAAGATTACAGTTAAAAATACTCTTTATGATCATAGATAAAGGAATATTATGAAAAATAATCAAAACAAATATTCTAGGATGAATCGAATTCATTTCTGGTGCTCTAAACCTTCCACATACCCATTAAATTGAAAATTGTGTACAGTAAGATATCAGTGTCCAGCATAAGTTATTTGATACCTTTCATCAGTAAACAACAGCAAATACTTCTTCCAAACCTAAACATCAATACATACATATGGAAACAGATGAATGATAATGTTCACGATCTAAACAACCAATAAATGGAACAAGTTACGACAAATTTCACTTCAAAATTGATCAGTAATTATTGTAAATTTTTTTCACCCTAGGTTCCTAGTGGAACACAGGGATTCAGTAACACCCCTCCATTTCACTCTCTGCTCTGCAATCTTTTCTACCTAGCTCCATAACAGCCCACAAGCTTCCATTCCTTCCTCACATCATCTACTCAATATCACCCTCGCCTCGGACACCCAACACTTCGTTTCCCATTTGGATTACACTCGACGGCTCGGCTGGCGCCTCATGTCTCCAATCGACCTTCTCAGTGTATGCACAATCCAATCCATCTACACTTCAACCTGCAGACTTGTTAGGCGATGGATTCCTACTTGCTTCATTGTCAGCCAGACTTCCTTGTTTCCTATTACAATTATTCTGGCCATCTGATCTGATCTTCAGTATCGAGTGAGAGTAGGTGGCAGTTGTTGATGAATGTCTGTAGTTTGTTGGAAGTGATTTTGGTGACGCTGCAAGTTTCTGAACCATCACATAGAAGCACTGACTTGATTGGCTTTGGTGTTGAGAATCCGGATCCTGTCCACGCCAAATGCTGAGTGCACTAGATCTCCACACTGGTTTCAGATAGATGAAAGTCTGTCTTGCTGTCTTTCCGATCATGGTTTTGACATCCTCGTCTGTGCCTGTGCCACCACCTGTAGTTGACACGATGCTGCTTGATCAGGTGGGTGAAAGAGACTACTTCCTTTGAGTTTCTCCCATTTATGGTGATTGTAGCTTGTTGTTGTTCATGCTGTTGTTCGTTGAGTATCATCATCACCTCTGTATTCTCTACTTTCACAAATGTTTACCATAGGTTATACTTTCTTTATGGTATATTATGCTATAACTCTCAAGCCTGTGAGCTTTATTTTACAGCTTACATTAGTGTTACTTTGAAATAAACTGATTAATTTTGTAGTTGAATAGAATGAAGATATTGTATTCTCCAAGCTGGATTGTTTAATGGTAGAGCTTGCATTGTCTCTCTGGACAATATCATCAGCACTAACTTCAGTGTAACGTGAGCTGTTAATACCTCTCCGTGAGTGATTCACTAGCTTGGCCTGACAAACTGGCTGGTGGTTGGTTGTTTCCTTCTATTGTTGTGCCATCGGCTGTTTAGATCTTTTTTTTAGCTGTCCTTTTGCTTAAACTTTGGCCTTCCTGTCGTTTATTATTTTCCTCATTGGTTGATAGATTGGGTCTATGTTTATACATCTGTTGATCACTGACTGACTGATCTAAATACCAAGTTTCCAGAAATTCTCTGGTATTTATTGTGTTTCCTCTGTCCAAAATTTCTACATTGTCAAGATCCAATCCATGTCCACAACTATACACATGCATTGAAATGAGTGATGAAATGTCATGTGTGATGTTTGATAGCCAATTGGCGTTCATGTAGACTATGAAGAAGAGGGCCACCACTATGTCCAGTGTGGTGTCGACTACAGTTATTGCAGTTGGTTTTATAAATGATATTCAGTGTGTCTTCTTTGGTTGTTGCATCCTTCGGTCTGCAAAATAATGTTTGGAGGGAATTTCTTAATTTTTTCAACACTATTATATGTATATTTGTTCACGTAATTCTCAAAGGATATGAGGACCTTAACGTGGCTCACAGTTACCACAACTTAATTAATAGTACTTCATCAACATTGTCTTTGAAATTATAGCTAGTAGTATATGCCTATACAAATGTGGAAAATTCAATAAGTCATGTATATAGTTCATGCATTACACTCAATGCGTCTTCATATGCACTGCCCAATGTGTCATAAAACGTCGTCACTGTAGAGTGAATATCTTTTATTCTACATAAGTTTTTGATCTAATCCTAATTACATGGTTAATAGTTTTCCAGAAATGATTTTAAATGACAAATATTCCTGATTTTATAACTAACTAACTTAAGATAGCTAACAGGTGCTCAACTAATCATATCATAACAAGCTATTGTTCCAGTACAGTTGAAATGTTTTCTGGTTCCTCAAGAACATCTCTGCAACAAAGAGAATAGCCAATCACATTTCCTTTCATATTTCTTTGATTTTACCTTGAAAAAACATAGGTAGAAGTGTATCATGCAATAAAGGTCACCTTTAATTCATAACTTATGCTATTTCAATAAATCATTGACAAATTAGGATTTCTGAAACATATGATGAGTGAAGGTGTTTTCGCTGCATGAAAAACCTCAAACTTGTTAGATTACTCCTGTAAATCATATTGAAAATGTTATTTTCGGTAGATTGCATGTTTGAGAACTGCAGCCATTCAGTACCAGTTCAAAAGTTCTTAAATTTTCAGATCTAATTTTTAAAAGCAATGAATTATGCAAAGTCTATCATGTTTGAAACATCAGAGAACTTACTCTAGCTAAAGCACTCCATAAATCTCCATCATCTATATTTTTGTACTTGTTTTGTCGCAAATACATCTGGATGAAATAACGAAAGAATAATTTTCGGTATATAAGCTAACCACAAATAAACAGTGAGTATGTAATAGTCTTACTTTTACGGGTAAAAGTGGAGACTTTCGATATCGAAATAAGTAGGCTATTTACCATGGGTTCATCGGTAGTAAAAATTTTACTATTTTGGCATTATTCGACCCAGGCGAATGCATGTTTTCGATTAACATTATTTCATAGATGAGTCTTACATGCCATTTTATGCCCGTTTTCAATATAGTCACTCTTTTATGCGCTAAAATAAACAAGCTTAGTGGGTCGTTATAAATAAACATATCTGCTTTGGTACGTACACTGCATCTAATTCACTCTACCTCACAATGAATATGTGATGAATTTCTCGCTTGGGATCTTAAAAATCCTTGAGAATTTTTTTGGACTTATTTATCCGGCTTATACATTTCGGAGATACTAGGGTTAATAAACCTGTATAATATAACATTTTGAGAAGTATGATCTGATATTTTAGTTGGTTTTAGTAGCCCTATCGCCACTTGATATAACTTCAGTTATATGTAGGTGGACACTTGTACAATAACCTTCAGATTCCACCATTTGTTGGTCACTCAGTTTCTTGATAAACGGGAAAGACGGTAACACAACGATCTTACTACACATTGTAACATTGGTACTCTGTATTTTCCAAGTTCTTGTTTCATCTTACTAACAGTACAAGTTTCCGAGGCGTCACAAATGACACATCTGGAAAGCCAGATTTGAATAAAGTGTTTGAAGCAAAAAGCTTTTGCTTGCATGTTTTTCGCGTTCTGATGCAAGGACATGTTTGAACAGTATTCTATAATGTTGATTTGAGTTTCTACTTCTCAACTGTTGCGAACAGATATGTCTACAATCACTGAACTAAACTATAGGACTTCATCTATGCCAACATCACATGCAAACAGTTTCCTTTTCCTCTGATCCCGAAGTAATTAGAACTCTTTTGGCACTGACAAAAAACCTGGATTGAAATCCTACACTACGTAACTAAACAGTGCAAAGTAACTTGAATTTTGTCTCAAAGTACAGGTGTGGGCAACCACACTGCTCTACGAGTACGTTACATATTCTTATTTTCTGTTTTCCGTTTGGGTTGTAAGTCGCTTCAGCGTAAAAATTAAAAAAAATCATTTGCATATAAAAATTAGGACCAACTTTCCTGGTCTTCCATTTGGGATATTATTGAGGTAGCTATAGTTTTCATGCCATGACTTATATAATCTACTTTTATCAAATTGGTAATCAAATATTTGGATTCTGTAAGTGGAATCTTATTATTTTATTCTCTTTAATAAACGTAGAAGTTACGTTAATCCTTGGTGTTGGATAAATTTAGTCCAGACACTTTAATCAGTGTTATGATGGTAGAAGAAGGTGGTACCTAGTGACACAAACATTCAACACGTTATTAGAAAGTAAATTACGTAGTGGTCGAGTGACTTCCACAGAAAAACGATTCTTGTAAAAGGTATGGAAAAGTTTAAAAAACAAATCGGTTTATATAAGACAAAAAAGTTTACACAAACTATACTAATACATGTAAGACTCTTGTTGGCAATCAGTTGAAAGTTTGTTCATTCTTTCAAATGAAACAATAATGAATAACTTGTCAATGTTATCTTGCTTAGAAGTGTATACTGTACTTTGCAAAAACAATAACACAGTGAGAATACAAATTTTTCATTAGTTCCAAGGATAAAACTTACAATCTACTCTCTTATATGATGAAGGAGATACATTTAAACGAAACGTTTATCATATTTTAAGATGAGAACTACTAAGTGAACCTATTCAAGTGTTTGACATAATTCACTTCAGTGTTATACTGACATACCAACATGATCTTTCAGAGAAAGCGAAAAATGTAGAATGAAACAACACATCAAATGAAGATATTTTAGTTCGATTTAGAAAAGCGAAAGATCCCTTCCATTAAATATTTCTAAATATAATTTATAACGCAGCATTAATTATAAAGTATGTAGCACATAGGTGGAATATATGAAAGTGACTTTTGTGAATACTCTTCATAAAGTATCAGAAATTCAAAGGTTAATTTTTTGGAATATGTAATCATGAATTTCTATTGGAAATTCTTGTTGGGTGATCTTGTTTACTACTGTTTGTTTGGACAGGTTAACACATATTTAATTATATTTGGTTACTTCTGACCTCCAATAGCTTTTAAGTCTATTTAACCCATAGTTTACGAGATATATAAATGTGAATAGGGACATCTGACAGACGAGTAGTGAATAAATCAAAATGATACAACATTGAAACAAAGGTAACGCTGAATTTATTTCACATTTGACATACCTTTAGTCCATCCATAAGTGTATCATGTCCAATGAATGATACTATCATTCTCAACAACGATCCTCCCTTTGAAATCAATGGAAAAAAGTCAAAAAGGAATCATGGATTACTATAAAACAGAAAGTTCGTCATCGTGGTTCACTTCGGATGGTTTACATGCTATTACTTAAATATAAATTAATTTTAGCATGGCATTCAGAAACCATTTTAGGATAATAAATGACAGGACTAGGATATATGGACGATTAGACTCCGACACAGTGGCTCAGTGGTAACGTGCTGGGCACGGAACATGAAGGTCATGGGTGCGCACTACTGAGGAGTTCCATACTAGGACGAAACAGCTGTCCAATGCCCCCAGATTTCAAATGTCCCTCCAACTGATATCAGTTCGTAATGAGTACCAACATGAGACAATAATGTATTTTATAGTACATTAGGATGAAATCGTTAGGAAGTACTATTAGGAACCACTAATCAATATGTATGTAGCTTATACTGAAATTGTAGCCGAAGATACACTAAGCAGATCAAAATTCCTCAGAACCTGTGGTAACAGTACCTTAGTAGGCCCACGTTTATAGCCATTCCAGTTATAAAGACGTCGAAATACGTCTTACTATGTATATTCCTATAAAAATACGTCAGACTGGATGATGTTTATCATGTTTTCCTAAAATTCAAGGAGAAAAGCAACTAATTTTTCTTAGAATATCTCATGAGATCATCTTAAACATTCATCTGAGTATTGTAGCTCAGCTGAGAAACTCAGTGATGCTGACTGTTGAAATTTACAGAAAGGCCATTGTTATAATTTACTAGATAGTAGCTGGCAGTAGAATTTAGAACACGGGTTTCGCTCTATGTAGAATTTGTGAGCTAAATGTATTTGTGCCCCAGTGAGTGATGGTGTCCTCACTAGCGTCCTAACTTTGCACTTATCTCTTCAAACGTCAAGGCTTTATCTAGCAGGTCACTGAGGCGACCACCAGCCACCACGAATTACACTATATCAACGAAAATTTAGGCAATATCGAGAAATCCTAACATAACCCCATATGTTAACTGAGGTTGTTCAGTTGGTTCTATTATTCATACACCTCATTCAAATTATAAGTTACACTGCAGATAAAATGAATAAACTTTTATCAGTTTAACTGTATTTGTCAAGTTTTACAAGAGTTAATCTATTTCTATTTCTATAAGAAATATTCATCTTGATCTACTTTTGACTCCATGGATTCATGTTCCATAGTCGTACTATTTAAAGTTGTTTTTAAACTCATGTTCATTGAGCAGTCACATGAAGCTACACAAAACTGATTCTTCGATAAATTTCAGATTTGACAAGGTCAATTATACCTCAATAAAACAAAAGTTTGCTTTGTCTTTCTTAAGTTTAAATTTGGGTCCAGTACAAAAATGATGATTTGTATGCTGGTTGAACAGTAATGATTCATAAATTATTATATTATATATTCTTTCTATCGGTGTAGTTTTCGAATTTCCCAAAATTTAATCTTTACTACATATTTCTTGACCATAATAATTATTTGTAAAAGACACCTATGGGAAAGCACGAATACTTTCTGTTGCAAAATATCTAAAATCCCAAAAACTATTTCAGTGAACTCTTTTACCTATATTACTGTTCAAACCTCACCCGGTTAACCAGTTCACTAGTTACTAGACGGTCCTAAGTCCGGCTACCTTGAAAAACCAATCCAATCGCTAAAAAACTTCAAAGCACAAAGAAATTACAAAAAACGAAAACAGACTTATCCCTCGCTGGAATCGGAAAGACAGAATGGTGCCGGTTGGTGAAAGCCTAAGGGAAGCCAGTTGGCCGATGTGCCTTCTCTCCTTCAATCAAAGTGAAAGTAAGAATGGGGACATGGAATATCCGCACCATGTAAAAACCTAGCACTTAACTTTAAAAAGAAGACAGGAGTAAGAAAAGACAGGGTTGTCTACTATCACCCATTATCTTCCTGATTGTGGTCGACTGGACTGGACTGGACTGGATGATGCAACAGACAACTGTGAGGAGCGAGAAGATGGGCATAGGCAGGCTGGACCGATGAAAAGACTCGAGAAGATGATTTGGACTTCGCCGATGGTGATCTGTGTTTAATGTCGCACAAACTCGAAGATCTACAGGCGAAAACTAACAGGTTGACAGAAGAGGTGAGGTAGAGGAGATGGGACTTCAAGTGAACGTAGAGAAGACGGAGGTGATGAAGATATCCAACCAACGCCATCAACAACAACAACATCAACAGCAAGCATCAATCACCATAGATGGGAGAAACTCAAAGGAAGTAATCTCTTTCACCCACCTGATCAAGCAGCATCGTTTCAACCACAGGTGGTGGCACAGGCACAGATGAGGATGTCAAAACCACGATCGGAAAGACAACAAGGCAGGCTTTCACTAATCTGAAATCAGTGTGGAGATCTAGTGCACTCAGCATTTGGCGTGGACAGGATCCGGATTCTCAACACCAAAGCCAATCAAGTCAGTGCTTCTATGTGATGGTTCAGAAACTTGCAGCGTCACCAAAATCACTTCCAACAAACTACAGACATTCATCAACAACTGCCACCTACTCTCACTCGATACTGAAGATCAGATCAGATGGCCAGAATAATTGTAATAGGAAACAAGGAAGTCTGGCTGACAATGAAGCAAGTAGGAATCCATCGCCTAACAAGTCTGCAGGTTGAAGTGTAGATGGATTGGATTGTGCATACACTGAGAAGGTCGATTGGAGACATGAGGCGCAGCCGAGCCGTCGAGTGTAATCCAAATGGGAAACGACGTGTTGGGTGTCCGAGGCGAGGGTGATATTGAGTAGATGGTGTGAGGAAGGAATGGAAGCTTGTGGGCTGTTGTGGAGCTAGGTTGGAACGATTGCAGAGCAGAGAGTGAAATGGAGGAGTGTTACTGAATCCCTGTGTTCCATTAGGTACCCACGAGGAAAACAATAATAATTATAATTCAAAAGTTATTTCTCAGATATAGTAAAATATTTGTATATAATATCAAAAACCGAAATAAGGTAACCTGCAAAATAATTAACATATTCAAACTTACTTTACTGTAAGAAATGGAGTCAAACATCTCAGCTATTTCGTGAGGATAATTAACAGAGTGAATAACTGGATGAGAATATGCAGAAGAATCAAATGCCAATGCTGTTTGTGTGTCATATAATGGAAATGCTTCATCCTTTTTTCATCAAAATGAATTAAATAATCATAGTTTATTAGAATATGAGTTGTATGTTTAATTTACAGAGTTACGTAAGAAAATAGTTGGTTTTATAACTTGACTGAGTAATCTTATTGAAACATCTGAATTGGTAGCTAACCACTGTATATTATACGATAGAATACATCAGTTCACTACATTTTAATGATTACACAAGTAAAAGAGTCAAACACAGTTCTCTTCAAATTTCCACGTTATTCGTAAATTTGTTTCCACTAAGTTCTATTCTAAGCGTCTACCCTGAAGTCAAGTGTGACAAATATATAAAGGGAAATGGAATGGTGAGCACATGAATATCAAGTTGGCTTTAAGCCTATTATAATCGCTGACCAAATTTAGTATTCAGTGGCTTTGCATAGAAGATCTGATATGCCTAGAATGAATTAGTCCAGTCTCAAAATTGTATATTTACAAATAACAAAGATCTACAATTTGCTGTGTACTAAAATTATAAAAGTTAAGAAAGTCACGTGATACACTACTAATGAACGATTTGAGTAGTTAAAAACCACTTAAGCTGATCTGTAGATTTATCCAACCATATCAGATTAATTTAAACACCGTACAGTCGTTTCGCTTGTTTTGAGCCAAGCTCATCAGCGGTGTATCTGGACAATTCAGCTTATAGGGGTGAATTATTCAAATCAACATATCTGGACAGTTGAAAAGCTCAGCTATGAGAAATGTCAGTGTAGACTATGCAGTTAGTAAATCATTTACAAATCGGATCATCCTGAAATTGAGTGGTATAGAAACATTTGCAACACTTATCAAAAGTAAGCAACCTACCACATTCCAATCTGGATTAACGTAATTTGTTCCAACATACTCAAAGAATGTTGCAAAACCTTCATTCAGCCATATGTTATCCCACCATTTCATTGTTATTAGGTTACCAAACCACTGAAATAGTAACAAGAGTTTTATTGATTTAAAACTATAGCTTAAACACTTTTACATGGAGAAGTAGAGTACTGAAGTGAGTTCTAGTCATTATCCAAGACTGAATGAATTCATTCCTTATGTTGTGACTCTTCTTGCCTGGACATTTAAATCTCTCTCAAATTATTACCATCTGTAATAGTGTGAATAAAGTGAGATTTATCACTTGACATTCTCTAAGATTGTGCATGGTAGCGTGAGCGGTTAGTACAAAGAATGATGGTATGAATTTGCCTAAGGGTAGAAACGAAGTGGTATGTCATCAAAAGATGGTTAATATGTGAAACGAATAAAATAATGATAGTAATAATAAGGCGAAAAGTTTTAACTGGAATTTAAAATAATTGGTTGTATTATACCGCCGTTGGTTGAAACGAACTGATCGGTCTCTATTGGCATATGGGCTACTGTGCGGGTGGATAGTTAGAACACAAGTAATATCGAAGCACCCGCACAGGAGCCCAAATGCCAGTAGAGACCGATAAGTTATATTAAACTATACCCGTCGCACAAGAAGTGGCTATCGTGGTTTGGTGGTATGGTGGTTGACGCTCTGGCGTTTGAAGCGATCACCTTCAGATCAGAATCCCGGTAGGAAAAACATCAGCCACTGGGAAGCACGTATATCCAGCTGACAAGTCCCAAATAGGAGGAAATGCGCATCCTGGGTTCCACTGCTAACCAATATCCATCACTACAGGAATTTTAAAAGTTTATTTTGACAATACAAGAGGGAGGTGTGGTTAAAAATAGCACTAATAATACTAATAGTAATGACGTTTTTTATTTAAAAAGAAAGGAAAAAAGAAGAGAGAGGAGACGAAAAAGAAAGATCCAGGGAGAAACAAAAGGGTTGATGGAACACTGTTTAGTCAGTGGAAAACCAGGAGTAGAGCTTGGTCTTAATCTTTTTGAACACCAAGTTCAGGCTTTTTTGATCTTATAGCTACGTCTTCCACTATATGGAGAATGTGTAAACGAATAGCTCACGGTAGAGTCTTTGAAACGCGGAATCATAGTGAAAGCTGTACTGGCATGTATTTGGTGCCCAGTATTCATTAGATTTGCTAGTATAGAACTTCTAATGGATTTGATCTCACCCGCTGCAAATCATGCTGTTAGGTGTTTTCATATCTTGAGACGGGCATTTCTAATAGTGCGCCGTATATAACTTGTTCCACAAGAACAGTTGAATTGGTATATGCATGATGAAGGGCTGAAATTAGTTAGGGCGTCTTTAACTTTCGAAATGAACAATGTTTGGCCATTAAAAGGGTAGACACAGATGTCCGGAGCAAAACGTTCTATTTATTGCTGTGTGATAAAATTTCACTTAGGGTATCTCCCATAAATTACAGACGCAGAAAGAAAGGTTTTTCTTCTGTACACTTGTCAATTCGTTTTTTAGTGTTGTGAGTGACGTTTGCTTTTATAAACTTCTTCGGATGTCCATTATCCCTTAAAATATCCTGAAAGACTTGTAATTCTTTCTCGACACATTCCTCAGAGCAGATTTATCTTTCTCTAAACGCTAAACATCTGATGACATTTTGTTTGTACTTCACTGATACAAAGCTGAGGAAATGTGTATACAGTGTTCTGGTTGTCTTCCTATATACACTTGACTGACATCTTCAACGAATTTTGATCTCAAGAATGTCACGAAGTGCATAATTCCTCTGTGATATGTTCATTTCAAATTCTGTTATGTCCAACTGTACTGATTCAAGTTGATTAAAGGCATATCTTCCTAGGGTTTTATCAATAATCAGAATTCTGGTTTTTCGAAGAGACGTCCAGTAGAGTTTAGGATAATAATTCTTAATAATGCAGCCTTTGATAAAATCGACAGATATTCTTGATTCTGTGAGCCTAGCGCTGAACTCCAGGTACTCATTGAGTCCCTTTAAAGCTAATAAATACTTCAGGGAGTTATATGATTATAATTCAATGCCCATTCATAAGTGCGTTTGACGTAATTTCTGGGTATTAATATGTAAATGAAACTGATTTTATAACTGTAGAACCTTATGAGAAGTTATTGAAAAGAATATTCTTCGTTCATATTTGACTTTAAATGTGTAAAATGGGAATTTTTACTTGATAATCTGATAAAAAGCAGCCGGTGATGAGAAGTAGTTACCAGAAGTGTTAAGAGTATAAAATATATGAGAAAATATCATTTTGATTCTTTTCCTTCACAGGTTTTAATTTCTCCTCAACCATTCATGTTTCCTCTTTGTCTAACGGTGTCTGAAGTCACAATATTTAGTGTGCGCTTGTGGTGTCTTCAGTTACTAATTCTATAGATGATAGCCGAATATGACACAAGATTCTCTCAATGATGAAATACTTAGAGCTCGAATGATGGAAGGGAATGCTGAATGATTTTCAACGATTTTGTCGCAGTTTTAAATATTTTTACTCTATACATATTTTTAGTAATCTTTACTGGCTTTTAAGTACAACAACCAAAGGTATATTCCCTTCTCACATTTATATTGTCATCATATAAGATAATAGCACGTCTTATAAATTGGAAACTCAATTAAGTCAACTTTACCTGATGGGCAAGCTCATGAGAAACAATACTAGCTACCCAATACCTTGTCCAGGCTAAATCAGTTTCTGGATCCCATAACAATGCAGATTCTCGATAAGTGATTAGACCCCAGTTTTCCATTGCACCACCTTCATAGTTGGGAACAGCAATCATATCTAAGTTAAAAATAAAGAAATTTCTCGTCAGTATACCCTGTATGAAATAATCAGTTTTGCACTTCGATAAACTTTTATAAAATCTACATCTTGTATTCAATGGTAATGTGGATTTAACTTCTATTTTGTTGCATTTCAGTTGGCTGTCTCTAGCTTCTCAACTATCTATCACTTCAATAACAAGTTTAACTTCAATCACCATCATAATAATGATATTTCAACTAATGATATCTTTCAGTAAATCTATAGTTTCTTCGATGGAACACTATGAGCTATTTGAAGAGACTTGCTCTTTGCTATACATTCTTTGTAATCAAGTGATCATTGCTGTATGAAGTAATGTTTATTTACATTATGTTATATTCATTCGCTATTAGATATTTTTCATTCTTCACTCCTTCTTTACGGTTATTTTAATTTCTCTGTCTTCTTTTCATTCCCTTAGTTCGATACTATTGATTACTAATAAGTGGTTTTCCCGAGGTTTGATTTACCCAACTGCTTTACACATATCAATGAGTATTGAGGTCCTACGAAACATTTGTTCGTCTGCTAAGCATTACAGTACATCAACTTCTGTGGGATTTTATCAACCATATGTGCCCTTTTTCAGTTTCTTTCAAGAGTGTTATATCATTCTTTGAACCCCTGTTTATCTCAAAACTTTTCACCTAGTCTTATGAATTCATATACCTTGCATTTTTTATTGAGGTTTGACATTAATGTGGCTCCAAGCTGTTTAAATTTTTCATTGATAGATCCCTTGAAGAGTGTTCCTCATGGCTTTCAATGAAGTATTCTAAAGTTCCAAGATTAGTAATTAAAGCAAATAAGGACTAGAATTACATATTAAAGGAGGATACAGTAAAGGAAAAACACTCACCCATTTTTGAAAGTGGATAGGGAACTCCAAAATAATCTTCAAAGTAGGTGATGATTTTCCTACCGATATCAAACGCATACTTGGCTGAGTTTATTTTATTAGGCCTTGCCCAGACAGTAAACTGATTGAATGAAAAAGTTAAACTGTGTCTAGCATAATCACCAAAACCATACTATTAGAAGATAAGTTACAAATTAACGATTTAGTACAAATGAACCGACCATTGGAGAAAGTGAAGTAACTGGAAAGTTTGATATGGTTTCTCCCAATCTCCCTGGAAAATACACACTTAGTTAAGAGAAAGATTTGGGCCATCAGCTCTGATTACTGTTGTTTAATGATTCGGCTACTGGAATTTATCTCTTCATTGTGTATTGAAATTCAGCGATGGTAATTTCACTTTATTCTTTTAACTCAGAGGATAATAAACTTAATCTTGAAGTACAAATCTCCTCTGTTATCATAAACTCTGAAATGTCATCTTTGGAAACAAATTCTTACTCTCAAATTCATTAAACTAAAATGAAAGTGACACTAAACAGTAATCACTGAAATGTAGTAAAAGTTATTTTCAATCACAGTTACCTGCCTCAGACATGCTGTTAAGAATGAATCTCAATGGCGATAGAAATTATTCTCAAAATGAACTGTACCTCTACTGTCAAACGTTAAACGAGAGTGATGCGTTGTAAATGATGGTTTTCACCTATTAACTCTACTTCTGGGTATCGAATACAAAGCCAATAATACAGGAGCTGTTAAAGCTTATTGTAAAAATAACATACAAGAACTTGTTACTTCGTTATGAAATCCCACTTTTAACTGCTTAGAATCATTCAGCATACCAAATAATTTACATTAAAGTACCATATATTTTTAGCTGTTATGAATATCTCAATGAATCAAGTAACTTAATTTGGGGGCTTGTGGGGGAGGATATAATGACTTTCCAACTTGGTATTCATCATGAACTGACATCAGTCAGTTGAAAGAATATTGAAAATCTGATAGCAGTGAACAGATGTTTTCTAACATTTCTAACTTTTATCAGTTCATGATATAGAGCTACCATCACCCAAGTCATTGTTGAATATTTCTCCTCATGTCCACCACGTTTGTCCCACTGGTCACAACTTCTCATTAGAACTTGAGGAATTATCTCTCGAAGCTAGTAACCAGGGAGCATGGAACCTGGGGGTCCAGATTTCAATCCCTGGTGCAGTCATGGGTGGGAACTGCTGAAGAGTCCCATACCAAAACGAAACAGCCGTCCAGTGCTCCCAGCTTTCCAGTGTTCCTCCAATTGATGTCATTCCATCATGAATGCCAACCTTAAAAATTGGGTGCCAAAGTATTACAATGGTCGATTCTTTCGATTTTCAATGAACAATAGATTATAGTTATTCTTCTCTTGTGCAAAAGACCTACATTAAAATGTAATTTCCTGTGTTGAACACACTTTTTGTAAGAAAAATTCTCTTGTATTTATGCCTTTACTAGGGACGGAATACCGTTTACTATTTATTAGCTTTTCTACATAGTATATTGAAACTACTTTAAAGTATGGATACTAAATAGGGTAAAAAGTTTATAACTTCGTGGGTCTATCGTTATCCACTATTGTGAGATAAAGATGCTTCTCAGATATTCTAGATAAAATGTAAAATTCATACTGTCTAGCTTCCCACTGACTGAACATTTGCCTTTTGGTAAACTGATAGAAGGAAAACTATTCAATGAAACTAAAAACATTCATTGAATTCATAACCTATTCCTCTTGGTCATTTATTACGAAAATAAACTAAATGAAGGTAATAATCATAAAACTATAAAAAAGACTATTACTCACATTTCTTCCTCTGGAATCTTTGCCTTCAATTTTGGAAAATTGTGAGACTACAAATGCTAACAAATATGAAGACATATTTACACTTGGTTCATACCGATCTAGACGCCAGTTATTATCGAGTATTTCTGTGCTCTGTAAAGCCATGTTTGACAGGGAATGAAAATCTTTGTGGCGAACGATTCCAACCTGAAAGATGGTGAGTAATGAATAGTGAGTTCATAGAGATGATATCTTAAAGTTGTTGACATAAATCAATGATTGTTTGTTGATATCTTCAGCTGCCAAGATCGTTTTCTCATAAATCATAAAAACTCCACTTCGCTCTGCTGTTTAGTTACTTACATGTATAAGCATTTCCAAAGCTAATTTAGGAGTAAACCTTAAGCAGTGCGGTCAGTTTTAATTCCATATTAGTCTGTTTATTACAAATATCACGCAGTGAAACATTATCATTTACTGAATAACGTTTCGGACACAATTTATTGTCTATATTCATATAAGGTTACTCCAAAACTTTGAGACAGACCTTATACATCCCTAATTTTCTCTCCTTCTCTGTGATGACAAACGTGGTAGAATCTTCCATATATCTAAAACAGCTGCAGAATCATCTCTATTACTGCATGTATTTGATGTTGATTTGATAAATACATATTCGGTTATCAATATCTCCCCCCCCTCCACTCAACTAAGTTACTTTATAACACTATCGCTCTTTCCCACCCTACTGTGTGATTGTGTGTAATTGCGTTGAAAACTAACTTAGTTAAGTGAGGGAAGGGAAAGACTGATTACCGAGTGTAAATGTGTAATCAGAGTGTTCGAAATGTATTGGGCGAATACATCATATTTTTCAAATAATCTTCGTCTTCAAATAGCGTTATCAAAACCGAATCTTTGTTGATCGAATCAACATCAAATACATGCAATCAAAATGATCCTGTATATACCCTAGATATATGGAAAATTTTACTACCCTTTTTATCACAGAGAAGGAGAGAAAATTAGGAGTATATAAAGTCTGTCTCGAAATTGTGGAGTCAGCTGATATGAATATAGACAGTAAATCGCAAATCTGGGAGCACTGGACAGCTGTTTCGCCCTAGTATGGGACTCCTCAGCAGTACGCACCCACGACCCTGCTAGGGATCGAACTCAGACCTTCAGGTTTCACGGAGAACGCGTCAACCTCTCAGCCACTAAGTCGGTTTCCAGTGGTTCACAATTTCCAACTTCTATCAATTCACGACATAGCGCGACTGTCAATCAAGGTCTTCAGTTAGCATCCACTTCACATTCAACTGGTTGACCCCACAGGTCACAGCTTCTCATAATAGCTTCCTGATATCCATCTGGAAGCAAGATTTTTAATGATTCCCCAACTGATGTCAGTCCATGATGAATACTACTTCTAAATTAAAAATCCCTATTCATCTCAAAAATACATTACAATAAATTGTGTCCGAAACGTTATCCAGTAAGTGACACTGTTCTTTCACTTTGTGGCATTTCTAATAAAAAGACTAAAATGGCATTTTCGAAGCTGTAAATAACAACACACTGCCATTTCATCTTCAACATAAAAGGGAGATAAAGCAGAAGTGAAGTCTTTAAATATATAACCACTTTCGTTCTTATGTTTATGTTGTAAATACAAGCATGTAAATAGATGGATAAACCCAGATCTCAGTAGACAGTCCCATTTTCGTTTAGAGAAGTAAGTGATATTAGGATGACTTGTATGTATGCTTTAAAAATAATTCTACTAAATGAAAGCAGTGGAATGCTGTCAGTATTTTCATATGCATAATCTTGACTGTAAATCGACATAGAACTTTTAAAGAAAAGCTTCAATACTGAAAGTTACTCTTGAGCATTACCCAGCAACAAATATTTTGATTAGTTTTTAAAAATTCCATCTGTCATTTACTAAACATATGGAGCAATAAGATTACCCCATCACCATTATGTGGAAGAATACAATAAGTTGTTTCTAAAGATAGAAGGACACTATGCAATAACATATGAATGTGGAGACCACGGTACAAGGAGGCGCTGAACGTGATTCTTATGCACACAAAGTTTAGACATAAAATGGTAGATTTACAGGGCTTTTGCCGTGCACAAGTTATGAAACCTTACTGCTTTTGAACCGCTTTATCGGACCTTATAGAATGATTTAAAATAGAACTCTGATGGAGCTACTCGACTTGAATTGACCAGATATTCAAACAGTGAACTATTTATAGGCTCGACTCTTCGATAGCCTGATAGGACAGTTTTCAGAGATAAATTTGGAGAGGGGATATGTTATTCTGCCCATATAACTGACCGCATAGAAACAAGTAAACGTGCTGATACACATTAATGTGGCTCAAAGAAGCAGTTTATCGTTAACACATTCAGGAATCAACTGTCTACTCAAAAAGATGATTCGAAGTCAGCAGAAAAAAAGGAATCATTTATCTGGTCAGATAGTGCTTAATGCTCTCTGTTGTAGCTTAGCCCTGAAAACTAACATTCTCTTACAAAGTTCTCTATAGTATCAAATAGTTCAAAAGTAGTCCGATTCCGTAACCTCTGCATCACTAAGGTACTGTCAGTCTACCAGTTCAAGTTCAGTGCAGGAGAATCATGTTCAGTACCTCTTTTTATCATGGTTTGCATACTGTGAAAACTGAACGAACTTATGCATAAACCAATTAAATTAAAATGTTCCCTTTTCGCCACTTTTTACACACTTTGTACATCCTTCTTAACACTTGTAAAAACGAATGTTGTTTATCTATACAATTTAAAAGTGAAAATTTTGGTTGTCCCGATATCAATTTGCTTCCCTTTTCAAACATGGAATTTTATTGTGCTTCCATCTACTTCGACTTCTTCCTCTATTGACTACAATCTGGTGTGTATACTCGTTGATTATCCTTGAATTTTACAGGACCTCTAATCCTACTTCCAAATATCATGACAAGCAAGTCAAACAAAGTCAAATCTGGAGCGGTGACGATTATAGCCCTCTGAACTAACATTGGAGCATACTAAGTTGTAGTAGACAGTACCGAAGAGATCATTTTCAAGTAACCCATTATTATCCATAACACTGATATTAATGTTTTGCGTTATAACGCACAACTTGTCATATTTGTTTGGCATTGAATCTACTTTTGTTAATTATACGTAATTTAACATTTTGGTTTACCTGAAATGGGTCCACTACAATATCCATATATGTTACGTAATATTCCCCTGGCTTCAGAAATAACTTTTTATTGTAATCGTGAAGATTACATTGATCTCATTATCCCATTGCTGAATAATAAACTGTTATTTGTCCTTGACACTGGTAAATCAGAATCTATAGTTGTTTACTGATACTTTTAATTTCAAGTTGCTATACTTGGATGAAATGGTTGGACGTTTTTAGTAGATTGCCTCCTATGTGGACGTCTGGATACTGTCCAGATATTGGTTATGTTGTAGTCTACTTGGTGGTTAATGGCAGAACCCAGCACGCATGCTTCGTCCTATTCGGGACTCGTCAGCTGGATGCGTCTGCGCCCCGGTGATGAGTGATCTTGTTCCCGTTAAGACTCAAATCCAGTACCTAGGGCTTCAAAAACCAGCACGTTATCCACCATGCCACCGAAACACAACAACCATTGCTTGTGCAACGGATACCACTTTTTGTCTATTGATAGGTGTGATTTCCTGTTGCAATGCTGCGTCACAGTGTACAGATTTGGTAGATGAGGTTGTCAAAGAAAGAATTTTCCTCACTGATTTTTCTTCTGTCTCTAAAATTTTAAACTACTCAATCACTTTCAGTTACTCAATGTAGTTAATAATCTCAAAAATATATATGAGGCATTAGACGTCTTACGTAGATCAATAACTGGTTATTCTGATGAATTTTATGAGTTTTTCCTTCATGAATTCTGTTCGAAACAGGTAGCATTAAATTTCAGTTGACCGAAAACCTGAGATGACTTATTACTTATGCTGAACAAGTTATCAAGTAAATTCTCAGTTTAGTCAGTTGGCGTTATCACACTTATGTGCACTGAATTAACACCCATCTTGGAATATTATGAATAAATTTGAATCATACTCTGGTCTAAGAATTCATTACTAATCTAGAAAAATAAGGCTTACTTCTTAATGAATCATATTACACAAGGTTGAAATGTTTAAAATGTACCAGAATTAAAATAATTCTCAAACCTTGAATGTCGCTTTAAATCCAGGTTCATCCCAACATGGAAACACTCGCCTAGCGTAAGTTGGCTCCATTTGACTGCTTACCATATATCTGAAAGGAATGAGTAGTGCATCAAGTTATTAGCAAATAAATTTAGACTAACTAACAAGCACTAAAAATCAGACCGACTTCAACTCAATGTGAAGAAAGTGAAGACGCAGCCTACTGGACACAAGATCAGATCAAGTAGGGGAGCAGATGTAGGTTCACACCACTCACTATCTGATGCAAGGAACCTTCAAAATCAAGTTAAAAGCCTTGAAAGAAGTTGATGATAGACCACAATTCAAGTTGAACACCCAGAACAGAAGCTGAACTGAAGGACGAAACTACAAGGGACATCTTCACGTCAGCCATCAAGACAAAATGGGAGACATTGAGCAACATCCCTGAAAGATCGGGCATCGAAGAGCACTGGAAGAACACTCTTTTAAAAAGACGTGGAAGGAAACCTGCATAACTATGTTAGGAAGGAAAAGGAAGAGACAAGACGAGTAATGGATCTCGATGGACACATGAAAGCTGATAGAGGAGGCAGGGGAAGATAGTTATGATAAAGCAGACGATGAACCAGTGCAGTTAGGGGTGAACAACAAAAGGAGGAACTGAACACAATCTATAAAACACTACACTGGACAAAGACGTGAAGAAGAGTGCGTGCAAAGACACAAGACACTTCTGCCGCACACTTGCAAGAGAAGCAGAACAGGCTGCGGGTTGAAGAGACAGAGACCTGATAACACTGTATCAAATAACCAGGTCACTATCTAAGAGGGAAGAGATCAACGCAGAGGAAACCAATGAAAGACAGTGAAGGAAAGCTAGTTACCAAAGAGGAGGAGAAACAAAGGAAACAACGGGTTGACCACTTCAAAAAACTCTTCAGTTAACCACCACCACCACCTGCAACTCGTCCAGAAATACC